CTGCTCTACCACTTGAGGTATTGTGACCCCGATCCACTCGGATACCAACTTCCCATCCGGTCATTTGGTCAAATAAAAAAAAGTGTTTGCTTTTAATAGAATGACGTAAAATACAATTTAGTGGATTTTGGAGTTACACAAGGATCCATCTTAGAACCCATATTTTTGAAATATTTACTTTAACGATCTTTCAACGTTGTACATAATGATTGTTCAGAGATGGTTAGAATTAGAGACTTCAAAGAAGCCGACTCCTCATAGAAAAGTGAATTTCTATCCCTACTTTATTAATACATTAGAGTCAGAAATTAATAGCAAAATTTTTAACTCTAAAAAATAATGTTTCAGTTTGATTTTTCAAAAAATGGAAAACTAACTGCGTAAACGGTCTTGGCTAAAATTGGACATAAAGTTTAATTGACACAGCCGAATTGCTTTCATAAGTAATAAACTAACATTACTATTCTTTATGCTATTGTAAACATGTCGTAGTACTAAACATTCTGAGAATGATTTATTCAGCATTTTTTCAGGAGTCCTGAAATTACAATATTTGGAATAAATAATTGCGTTAGGATTAAGGTGTGGGGCGTTTGTTAACAACCATTGCACACCGCTCTTCAGAAAATTATTTTTATGGCAGTATCTCCACTATATGTCTACATAAATTATTAATACAAATTATATATAAATAAATGAAAGAAAATGTGCATAAATATTTGAAAAACTGTGTGGTGATTAGTGACCGTTAATCGATGATTATTCAGAGATCGTGAGATGCGGTCTTGTGTGATGTTGGTTTTAGAAAAATATTTTCTTTATCGTGCCAACGTTTCGATCTTTATTGAGATCATCTTCAGGGCCTGGGATTTACAGACATTGTTTAAATTAAACAAATATACGTAGGACGTGAAAAAAGTGAATTTATACAATGCAAAATATATTTTTTATATTCAATCAAAGTATTTCTACTCACTCAAAGTGTTAGTTTTTTGTGTAGATGTGTCATTATTGGATATTGTGTTGAAAATGCCATTGAGATATTGCTGTTTTATGTACACATACATTGGATTTTGAAGGGGTGGGGAAGTAAGTCGGTATAGAAAGACATTTTTGTATAAGGCATTGGCGTCTTTGTGGTGAAAAGAGCCGACGAAGGGAAAAAACGTGGGTAATAGTTATTTCAGGATTATATAGACGGGGATAAATAGGAAAAAGGATAGCTAAATTATTGAAAAATTAGACTACGTGAAAATGTTTGATGTGTGGAATGTGATGTGATGATATATGTGTTAAACATTTTCACATAGTCTAATTTTTCAACAATTTAGCTTTCCTTTTCGTATTTAACCCCGTCTATATAATCCTGAAAGGATAATCTGGTCGAACCATTACTAACGTTTTTTTCCCTTCGTCGGCTCTTTTCACCTCAAAGACGCCAATGCCTTATACAAAAATGTCTTTCTATACCGACTTCCTTCCCCACCCCTTCAAAATCCAACATATATAAACATAAAACAGCAATATCTCAATGACATTCTCAACACAATATCCAATAATGACACATCTACAAAGAAAACTAACACTTTGAGTGAGTAGAAATACATTGATTGAATATAAAAAATATATTTTGCGTAGTATAAATTCACTTTTTTACACATCCTACATGTATTTGTTAAATTTAAACAATGTCCGTAAATCCCAGGCCCTGAAGATGATCTCAATAAACATCGAAACGTTGGCACGATAAAGAAAATATTTTTTTAATACCTACATCTCACCAGACCGCATCTCACGATGTCTGAATAATCATTTGAAAAACTGTAACATATTTATGTATCAAATGTAATAAACAGAAATCCTGATAATTCACGAGTTCGCTACTGGTAAAAAACAATTTAGAAAAGTCCTAAAATTTTTTAATTAAAATTGTATTATTTTCTACACCAGAATATAAAAATGTTGCGACACAAAGTTTGTTTACGGAAGGAATGAATGAAAGAAAAGCTGGTAAAAAAAATCCTCTAGACAAAATATATAAAATGCAAAATATTATAAGCGATTTGTGTATGTAAAATAAAAATGTACATTGCATCCAATGTAAGAACATTTTTTATTTCTCACACTGCTAAGTGCAATTCGCTATGAATGTGAAAATGAAAATATTTGATTTCCACACGACTCTCCTTATTTACAGAAAATTTTATTGGGCATTATCACGTCATAATAAACTGCACATAACGGCAAAATCCTGACCTCGGTTTACTGTTGATTTAAACGTTGTTGATATAGGCTGAAAGTAAAAATATTCCGTTTTCTAACGGTTATTATAACGTTGAATTTATTTAAAAAAAACCAGAGGACTCATGAATTTTTATGTGGAACACAGGACATCGGAGAAAACAAATTACCCTCTACCAGCCGAAAAATGGCTTTTTTATTTGCTATAAGAATTCTTATATAAATAACGGCTTTGACTGGTGTTGAAAACGAGTGAAAATTTTTGTTTGGTTTTGTTTAGATTTACATACTAAAAAAATAGTCTCAATAAACAAGCGGCAAGTTGGCATGTAGCCGCTTTTACGCATTTTAATTTTTTTTTTAAATTGGACCATTTATAAAAATTAACGGGATAATACCGCTCTCAAAATGGCACATGTAATAACCAAACAAATAGATTTAATTATTTTAATCACCTAAAAAAGGCATATAATTAAGTGTTTTCTCTCAAATTTTTGTAAAAATCAAAGAATATTTTTTTCTATACGTTCTTGCTTCCGATTTTTCTAAAATTAGAAAAATAGGGATATAGTTGAATCAATTTCACCGATCCACAAGATATTCTATAGTATAATAGATCGTATAGTACAGATTAGATAGATAAATCTTATAGAATATTATATATCTTATGTAGTAACTTATAAAGCACGTTATTTTCTTCTCTTAGATACAAATATCAATCAAGTGATTTATAATAACTTGAAATACATGAATAACAAAGACACAAACGTATCTTCGATACTTTTAAATTTAAAAAGGAAACTTTATATTCCTTTCTCACCCTAAAAACACTAAAATTAAATTATTCCGGAAAATCAAAATTTTCGCGTGCCTGGCAAATGCCTACGAATTTTTTTTCACTTCGAAATTCATAAAAATATTGTTGGATTTAAAACGTCTACCGGAAAATTTTGGAGGGTTACATTAAAACATTTCATTTCGTAATGAAGCCAAATCGGTCTTTGTAAATAAAAAATAACGAAAGATGTCACATAAAACGTTTGAGTGGTTAATGTTAACCTTCTTTTTCTCACTTAAAATGCTATGAAATCTAAACGTAGTTAACATAACCTGAAACCAGATATATAACATTTTCGAACGGTGGTAATAACCAATTAATTAATCTTTTTATCTAAGGTTTTGGTGGAGATGAAAAATTAGTGTCACGAGCGGTATTCGGAATTTCATTTCAACCAAAAACCGTCGATAAAAAGAATAATTAATTGGAATAATTAATATGGTCAATTGTGACCACTAAACCAATATGAGTTGTGATAACGTAGAAATTATATAAAATCCAGAGGGGGTAATGCATGTTTATATGAAACACAGGACGGTTTTTGCTATAGTAATTCGTATTTAAGGGATGGGCGGGCGCTTCAAACGACTTTTGACAAATAAAATTTTTTGGTCTACTTTAGCGAAAGCGTTTCTTCGTTTTTGCAACTTTTTTCTGAACAATATAAGAAACTTTTCTGCACGTAAAGCTGACGACAAGAAAAACGTTTTTAATGCAAACTATGCTAAACGAGAACTTGAGAAAGCTTTTATTAAATCAACATGATATACGCAAGGGCGAAATTTACAATAAAACGCCTTGACCTAAGTGGGATATATAAAAATATGAAAAGGTGAAATTTTTTAAAAAAGTATGTAGAGTGGAGCAATAAATAAAATAAATAGTATAATAGGAGAGATCACCTGACTATAAAAACACAATAAACCTTTCATATAAAAGATTTTTATAGGTGTTTTAAATTTTAAAACCAATCTCCTCTTAATTATTAATACTATAATTTGTTGAAGTCGTGAGGAGCGATCAAGAATTTGGTAGTTAAGAAAAACATCTTTTTTTTGCCGACGTTTCGACGTTTATTCGGCTCATCGTCAGGGCATAAAGTGTGATGCTATTCTTGTGGTGTCATATTGGTTTTGTGGGAAAGTGTTATGACTACAAGAATAGCAACACAGTTTATGCCCTGAAGATGACCCGAATAAAGGTCGAAGCGTCGGTAAAAAAAGAAAAAAAAAAGGTGTTTTTCTAAACTATCAAATTCTTGATCGCTCCCCACGACTTCAACATATTATGAAACACCCCGTCACTAAGAAACACATTAATATTATACTAAAACAAAATTTTATGTTAGACGATGATAGCATTGTAATATAAAACAGAAGTAATTTAATTATAGATTTAGTTTCAAAACAGTTGTAAAACAACGGTAACAGTAATTGGCTTATAAATTTAGTTATATAATAAAAATGGTTTATTGTGATGTAAAAGTTTATTATGTATAATTTAATGTTCGATAATAATGTTATAAGTAAATTAATGAAAACTATACAGTAGGTATAGTATAGTCATAAACAAATAAATACACATATAGAACTATTTACCTACGTTTATAAATTTAATATGATATCTAAAATTACTTAACCCACAGTTAATTATTTAAACACAATGTAATTCAAACTGAAAGCAGTATGAATCTAACAGGCAATGAGGGTAAAATAATTTTTTTAAAGCAAGACTATTATTTTAAGTAATTAAATTCTGATGAACAAATAATATAATTGGTATTTATTATTTAAGAATGTAATTTTGTTTAAATATTGAGTCTTTATAACAAACAAAACTCAAAACGAACAGAACAATTTGTTTTTATTTACTATTAACTCACACATCTCAAAATCTTTAAGTTGAAATTCAAAATATTTACCTGCATAAAAATGATTTGCTCTTTCGTGAAAGTGGTGGTGTCTCATGCTGACATCCTGCTCTCCAGGCTGGTGGAGTTGGGGTATTAAATTGAGCCAGACGGCCATTTTATGGCCTCTGTAGTGACTTTTCATCCTCGGTTTTGTCGCTGAAAATGAACAGATTTATTATTGTTTACGATATTGCGATCGTTGGATATTGGCCAGAAATGAATTAAATCTAAAGAGAGGTCAGGTCTTTATTGCATAACCACAGCGAAAATCTTTGAGCCGTCCACGAAAGCAAGAACACTCTATGTGATTATCTTGTTGTTTACACAAGAGACCCTTTTCCTTTGTCTAGGGTCCCTTTGTAACCCTACGCCGTACCAGAACCGCCCCGGCCAGGATTGCGTGAACCTTTCAATTAAATAAAATACCACAATAATTGACTTATTGTTGGATCAAGTCCTGGTTAGCGTCCCTTTAAATTCAGTAACAAGCGAATTAATTTTGATAGTAAATTATTAAATAATAGAAATGAATTATATTTTTTTAATAAAAATAAATCTTGAATATATTAATACAATTTGTTGATAGCTTGTATTTTTATAAACATTAATAATGATTAATCCTTAATAGTTCATCGTTATAATAGTATTTTTTCAGCATAGGAACCACAGATATAATATAAAAAAAACGAAATAGTTTAAAGTACCTTTTTCATATGTAAAAAGTTGATTTGGCCTATCAATTTATTAAAATCAAATGAGAAATTCTATGTGTCTTCCAAAAATGTAGCTACACAATTACCTTTCACTCGTACATTTGTATACACATTTTATACACTTTTCAGCGGTCGGAAAGTGCGGAAAGGAAAGATTTAAAATCACAAATCCTTTTATCTGTTCTTACATTTTATGCAAAGAAGGGTCGGCCGGTTGCCAAGATGTTACGTTCCTTGGATTTATCGCCTTGTCCTCCGTTTTCCTCCGGCAGCCCCTCAACCCGACCTAATCCAATTTCCGAACATTCCTCGGCTCAAAGAAACTCCTGGGGAAAAAATTATAAAGCAATCAAGTTTCGGCAATTTCCTCTCCCAGGCCCGTTTCGTGGATGTTTCCGAATGGCTGCTGGCACTAGAACATCAACAGTTCATTTTTGTCGACTCCTTTCCCGTCCTCTATATCAACTTTTGAGATGAAAATGATCGATCAATTGCATTGTTTAAATATTACCTCAATGCACCTGGGTAAATGAATGAAGTTTAAATGAAACAATTGTACCAAAATATATAAGTTACTGTCGGTGGAAATATGACTGAACTGGGACTTTCCCAGTAATAAATATTATTTTCATTCCAATTGATTATTCATTTTGTGTAAGGTCTTGGTTGAGATGAAAATGTTAGCGTTATGAGTGGGATTCGAACCCACGACTTTCGGCTCACGAATTGAATCCGCTCGTGACACTAAATTTTTCATCTCAGCCAAGACCTTACATAAAAATAATAATTAATTCAAATAATAATTATGGACAATCAGACCACTAAGCATAAATGGATGAATATTTTCATTGTTAAAATGTATATAGGTATTTTATGCAAAATCTTTATATTACATTTATATAATTAAATTTAAAAAAATGTAAATAATAAAAGGTTCAATCATGCAGAGGCAACTTTTTGTGACCACTTTTCTTGTTCCTTTGTGAAAACGTCGTCCTTCTTTTCTAGAATACATGTCATGTGACTATGTTATTAATAATAAATTAAATCCCGCTTTGGAATCAAATGCTTTCACCGTTAGATAAAAAAACGTTGAATTATGGATAATATGTAACGTAACTCTCTCTAACCATAAACTTTTACTCTAATTCTTTCTTAACTAACCAACCCCGTACAAGACACTATCCCTAACTCTAACCATAACCCAATCCCTATTAAACCTAACTTATACCATCCATAACTTTAATCCCATCAAATTTGATCTAACCCGTTCGTAACCCTAATCCCAACTAATCTACTTTACTTCCTAGCCGTACCTAACCCTTCCTTGCGTTACCCTAACTTTACCTAATCTACACCGTCCTAACTCAACCCCCTTCACATTTAACGATCCCGATCTAGCCCTACCTAATCTAACTCTTCCTAACCCTAACCATATCTTGCCTAACACTAACTCCATCTAACCTATCCTTACTTAACCTTCCTAATCCAAATTTATACCTACCTAAACATAACTTAGAAATTCTTCCTAACCCTAACCCTGACCTAAACTAATCATTCTTAACCAAACCTAACTTAACCCCTAACTCTACATACCCTAATCCTACTTAACGTAACCCCAATTTCCATACTTCTTCCTAACTTAAATTTTTTTTTAACCTAATCAGTCCGTAACGTTAAACCCATCGTACCTAACCTTATTCAACCTACACATGCATACCTTGGTAACCACAAATCAATGACGTGAAAAGGGTCTCGCAAAAAAGATTTCATGTCCATCCCAAAAACACATATCTGATCAACAATTTATAAAAGTCATACATGATGGAAATTATGTACGATCTATTTGTTCATATAAAGTTTGTATGTTAAACTTTAATTTTGTGGAATAATTATTTATAAAACAGCTTAAAATAATATTTTTATTTTTTTATTTTTCACAAACTTCCGTGTTGAAATGTTTTAAAACCGTGGTTGCCGAGTGGTTAGTGCGCCCGACTCGTATATGCCGTGATGGTGGTTCTGCGTTCAAATACCGTCATAGCCCATGGAATTTTAATTGAGTATAAATAAAAAAAATAGTATTGTAAAGTTGTTTGATCCCTCGGCTGTGATATCCAACGGGTAGTCGGCCATTTAAGCTCTTCTATATTTCAAAAATTAATTTAATTTATTTTTTGAAAATTGATCGCAATATTTCCTGATTTTTTGTTTTTGACCTTTCAATGTTTTACATATTTTTGAATTCACTAATTTCGTTGTCCACTTGACCAATTAATACTTTACAATTAATTAAGGTTTTTAGTTGAGATGAAAAAAAGTTAATGGCACGAGAGGGATTCGAACCGACGACCTTCGGCTTGATACGCCGCTGCTCTACCACCTGGGCTATCGTGACCTCGATCCACTCGGACATCAACTTCCTATCTCAACCCCACCTTATGAGTTCTCCCTCCTTTTGCCATTTTTCAAATGTCGTGTAATCGGTTTGGATTCTCGACGACAATTGAAATGGCGACGGAGAGCTTTAGTGAAGTGTACTTCATTTTAATTCATTAAATTCACTAATTCCGTGGTCCGCTTGACCAATTAATACTTTACAAGTAATTAAGGTTTTTAGTTGAGATGAAAATTTTTTTTAATCTCAACTAAAAACCTTAATTAATTGAAAAATATTTTTGAACGTTTAAAAAATTGACCTATTTTGAAATGAAATGATTCTTTATGGCAGCGATTATTTCAATGAAATCTTCATCACTTGGAAGGTGAAGTAGCGCCTGGCATGTTCCAGCTTGTTGTGAGGTAAACTAGTGTGGAACTTCTCTTCATGCCCTTCTCACTTCCCCTAACTTGTTTAAGCGGCGATTCACTCTTGAGTGTGACAAATCTGCTTTTGTTGGACAGTTTGGCAGGTGCTTTATGTAAGATTGACACAGGACATCTAGAGTGCCGCTGTTCGCCACTTCTGGTCAACAACGTTAACTCAGTCCTCTCTAATTTTTCAAATTAACGCCTGGTTGTATTGTATAACCATGTCGTATTGTAATTTCCACATTATTCACATTATTGAACATGTAAAACCTTTAAAGAAAGCATGATTATTATGGTTCTAAACTTATTTTAATGATTTCAATTTCATGCTCGGGTTTTTGAACATAAAGGTACAGAAAGCATCAAGGTGAACACAAGTTTCTACCGCACTTGACTTTCTTTATTTGGAAAATGCGGTTTGAAAGGAATTCCTGTACAGATAAATTCGCTTTATATCCGGCCCATTTATCGGTGCTTTTACGGAAATTTTACCTTCAATTTGTTCGATAATTATCTTTGAATAAAAAAGTTCAGTTTTGCGTCATGTCTTTACTTTCTCTACGATTTATTTTAACACTTGGTATAACTAAAAATTTAAAGATAAGTTTGTCTTCTCGCTGAACAGCGTCCTGTCTTTAGCTTAATCTGTCTTAATTATTTAGTCGAGATTATCAAAATAGCATTTAGGATATTCCAAATGGTTGTTTGAACATTGTTTTGAACTGTTGGACGTTGATTAGATTTATCCGACGAGCTTGACAGTTTAAATACGAACTTGGAACAAGTTTTTGACTTAGCAGGTCGAGACAATTAAATGCTAATATTTCTCATTATCCGTTGTTTTTTGACATTTGTATCAATATGTTCTCAGATAAAAAGCAGACTTAAGTAAACTCAAGTGCTTCCAGTTAGAGTAAAATTTTTGAGATTTCTGCGGGGTAATAAACATGTAATTTGGTCGTTTGTCAGGCGGTTTCAGTATTTTCCCATTGTTTTGGGTTAATTTCTTCGCCCACTTTCTTATAATCGTTAGTTCCTACATTTGTTATTAAATGTGCCCTTTGGCGTTGATTTATTTAGAGTTTTTTTATGGTTGTCATATTTATTGGTCTGCACGCCCCGTAGTTTTCTTTACTATAGTAAATAATGTGTGTAAGTTGTGGTTGATTGGTATCTTGATTCCTTCTGGTAACTGAGTTAGTTTGCATATTTGTTTGTTTTTGTATTCATTTTCTGTTCTTTCTGTACGTCAGAAATTAATTTTTTAAGCCTGGCTAGTGAAAAGTTTTGTTTGAAATTAGTAACAGCCTAATATGTTGTTTGTATCAACCTTTTAATTTTCTTGTCTGTATTTTTCTCATATTTCCAAGTAATCGGATGAACAAATGTAAATCAAATATTTTCAATGAGAATGTAATTAAAAACTACCGCTACGTATGAGTTAAGAAAATAAAAACAATCTGATGGTCTTACAAAGGTAGAAGAATTCTTTCCCAAAATGTGTGCATGACTTAACCTTTTATATTTATGTATATATTGTTCGTTGAAATTTCTGTTTAAATAAGTGTAATATAAAGAATTTGAATTAAAATACATGCATTTTAATAATAAAAAGTTTGTTTTAACATTTATAAATGGCATTATTCTGGTAAAGACCCAGTTCAGTCATATTTTCGTCGATAGTAACGACTTTTTTGTATATCCATTGTTTTTTAATTACACCAATGTACTGACGTGGGAAGTCTATGGACGTCGAATCACCGATTGCAATAAAAAGTTTTTTGATGATAATAGTTCATCGGTGATCTCACGTAGAATTCCCTTATCAGTAAATGAATAATGTAATGGTTATTGGTCACATTCTTAAATCATAACGTTTTTTATGCATTTATGCAATTATTACTTACAAATATTTTTAAATGAAATATCGTCAAATAATAAAAAAAACTATGATCAGTGATGTAAAAACATGATTACACGGTTAATCCTTTTATAGTAAAACAATTTAATTTTTTCACCTACAATTTTTTAAAAATTATTACAATACCTGAATTTACAAACGCAGCTATATTTTTGTACAGGAGTTAATATCAGGCAATGAAATATTTAATATTTCGTATTTAAAACGAAATTGTTTACGAGGCTTCATAGAGGTAAAAATTATTTTGTTTTTTTAATTTCCCACCTTCGTAAAACAAATGATTCGCGTTTAAGCGATGGCGCAATCGGTCCCCAGAGAGATATATTTCTCTCGTGTTATTGTCGGCGGTAGGTAATTGAATAATTCAGGAACCATTTGAATGTGCGCTAGAGTGGATGCTGATTTGTGAATTCATTTAGAAATTCAGAGTTTGTCCGTTTCGTTTTTCCATTTTTTTCCACTCTTAATATTTCTCGCACCTGCCAAAGGGAGAAAAAGTAGGATTTTGTTACTAGTATTTTTACATTTTTTAGCAAGAGAAATAGAATATTGTAATAAATTTGAAATATTGCAGTAGATAATTTTTGCTCTGCTATTAACTTTCTATCAATTGAATCGCTGGATTATGCCTTCGATAAAATCTTCCCACGCCTTGATTTTATTACTCCAACAATTTGTTAAAAACTCAAATGAAAAGTAATAACGAACCTTCTGCTTATCTTTAATGCAGTTGCTATTAAGCTGCTTTCACACCAAAGCAACATAGAACAACTTTTGTCTTTGAGAATAGGCCATACCCGATTGACACAAGGACACTTGCTTTGGAAGCAACCCGCGCAAGTGGCCCCATTTTAGAGAAAGGTTGTTCAGGCAATGAAATATTTAATATTTCGT